GGGGGGGGGGGTGTACACGTTGCCAGTAAACGCCTTTGAAGTAGGCTGCCCCAATACTATCCCGTGCGAAACAAAGATGGAGGGTACTGATGGTACGATATGCGTGAGGTGGCGATACCGTTGCAAGGTGCGAGTCATCGCGCACCTCCCAGACTGAGGGCCATGAGCTCGATTGCTCCACAGCAAAGAGGGTGCTATCGACACCCACCCGATAGGTCTAAGGAACGCTCTTTCCAAGTCCAACTTTTTCGGCACCGGCACTCTCTAGGTTAGGAGCAGTCTGATTGCATTTTTGATTTCTTAGCCCGGTTAGATGTCCCAATTTGCAATAAGGACAGCAAATGTGGAACGTGTCACGGGTGATTCCGGTTGTAACCCAAACGCCTACGGATACGATACCCCACCACCCCTGTAGTGTACGACAGGCGCAAGGGTGTGCTGTTTGAAGAAGCTGCCCTTCCGTACGAGACTCGGGCAAATCCTTCCTCAGGAACACATTGCAAACATCGAAATGGGTGACATGAGACATCACACCCCCTGCATCAATTTTCCTAGCTCGAATACTACAGCAGTACTCCCACGACCTACCAAGAGAATGCGTCGAGCGATATTTATAGTTTGTTTTCGGAAAGCTCTCCACGAGCAGGTCCCAACGCCGCCAACTTCTATAGCTTTGGCGTTCAAAATCAGTCAGCCCTAACACGGTACACCAGCAGTGTCTGTCACAACATTCCGGCATGATTGCAATATGTACATCGTCTATCATGTTAACCTCCGTTGGCACACACAGAAGTAGTGTCGACAGAAGAATGGGTACTGTGGATACCTAGATATGGATCTTCCCTGACAAAGTACGTACGCACATACAGACCTAAAGAGCCTCTGATTTGTGTGTGTCCACGATGGCGCACCCCAAGGGGCTCACTCTCGAACCAGCTTAAAGCCGAGCCAACTCGGTTGAGCTTGGCTATCCTCGCCACATATCAAAGAAGAAAATAGAAGCCACGGCCAGTGGTGTGGTATTCCCACTACACTTGAGGCCCCCTGACTCGCTTGAGAAGGGGCGTCTACATTGGCGTCGTTACCAAGTTTGAAGACTCTGGTTTCGCAAGGCTAGTCGACGAATGTCCCAGGTTGGCGGAGGGAGTACACCTACTCGGGCAACCCTATTCCTGCGTGACCTTGAACCCCTCCCGCAGCGCTTTGGCCTCCGGCTTACAACCAGCCCGAGTGTGCGTGAAGCGGCTTTTGTTGAATCCGCACGCGATATAACCGCACGGTTCGCCCACTTCTTTCGCCCCTCTACGCCCGACTGCGGGGTCAGACTTACTGCCCGACTGAAACGGCACCACTTTCGGTTTGCTGGAGTTCAGCCCCGCGCCCTTCGACTGGGAACGGGGGCGTTTGTCGCCCCCTCCGCCCCTGCCTGAGTCGCGACCGCGCTGCACACTTGAGATGTGCTTGGTGGTCTCCTCAAGGTCGTCGAGACGCCTTTCCAGGCGCACTGTGGCGTTTTCGAGCTGAGCTTCGTGGGAGATATGGTACATCGAGGACACCGACGTGGAAGATGAGGGGGGAACAGAGCGCAGTTTGTNAACCGAAAGTGGTGCCGTTTCAGTCGGGCAGTAAGTCTGACCCCGCAGTCGGGCGTAGAGGGGCGAAAGAAGTGGACGAATCGTGCGATATTATCGCGTGCGGATTCAACAAAAGCCGCTTCACGCACACTCGGGCTGATTGTAAGCCGGAGGCCAAAGCGCTGCGGGAGGGTTTAAGGTCACGCAGGAATAGGGTTGCCCGAGTAGGTGTACTCCCTCCGCCAACCTGGGACATTCGTCGACTAGCCTTGCGAAACCAGAGTCTTCAAACTTGGTAACCTTGCAAGTAAGCAATCAGGCTAGAGTAGACGGGAGGGACAAGCGCTGTGGGAACAGCGTCCCATCTCTGGCGGACCGTACGAAGAAAGTTCACAACCGTAAAACAGTACAGAGGCTGAAAAAGCACAAGGCTGGAGTTGTAGGTTCAGGGAACGCAGCACGAAGTGGCAACCAAGCAGGACAAGTGACTAGGAAGTTACGAAAGTGGTAGCATTAGCACCGCAAGCCTTGCACGTAGCTACTGTAGCTGGAGTAACTGCGTCTAAACATCGATCGCGTTTGATGAATGCCGATAATAATAATACGGAATATCAAGCTTTCCAAATTTCTGCATTGGCAGGATACCCGATGGGTCCGTCAGTGGTACAGACAACTTCACGAAGGGTACGCGTACCCGCCAGCATAAACAACCTTGAGGTTGATGCTATCACGATAGACACAGCGTGCGACATTCCATGCACCTCACTCATGTTCATGCGAAAACACAAAACGCTGAAAAACATACCCGTGCCACCTGGTGCAATCAATTTGCGTAGCGCAGATGGTTCGCCTCTCAAACTCAAAGGATACGCTCGTTTCGATTTAACTTTGGGAGAGATCACCCTGCCCGTAGAAGCGCTCGTACTAACGTCGCTAGGGCCCGATAAAATGCTACTAGACAATAGTATTATGGGTGCATTCGGGGCCATGCTTGATTGGCAAGCTGAAGAGCTGACCTTCAAGACATCCAAGGTGAAAATACCGGCCAATCACCGAAAAAATCGTCTTCCCGCGCCGGAAGAATCAGACATCATGAACTGTTCAGTAGTCGCGTTAGAGAGGGAAACACCAGCGATACCGGTGTACCTCACCAAGAAGTGCACCATACCCGCTGGTCACGAAATGGCAGTAGAAGTCCACGCAAACGAAACACTCGATAGAACCATAACGGCTCTGGTCGAACCAAGAATCGTCATAGAAGACGATATGAAAACGTCGGACGCACCGCAAGCGTTCCGCAGAGCGATAGTAGCGCGCACGGTGTGCAACTGGTCGCCTCGCGGTGCCATGGTTCAAATTGCCAACCCCTCCAACAGACTTGTGCGTATCAAACGAAACACTCTTTTGGGATACATTCGCCCTGTCAAAGCTGTGATGCCGCAAACCACGAGTAGCGTAAACACAACGACAGCGGAAGAGACGGAAAAACACCGTCAAGAACTGAAAAAAGCATTAGCTAAAGCTTTTCAATCGACAACCTTCTCACCAGAACAATTCGAGGAAATATTCCAACTGTGCACCAAGTACAGATCAGTATTCTCGTTAAGTCCTGCAGAGCTAGGAAGATGCAATATCACTGAAGCTGATTTTCCAATGCCACCTGGCACAAAACCAGTCAACCGCGCCCCGTACCGTGCAAGCCCGCATGTGCAGGAGGTTATTGACAAATGTGTTGACCAAACGGAAAAAACGGGAATCGTCGAACAACGTGCGAGTCCGTGGGGTTTTGCAGTAACGTTAGTAGCTAAAGCCGACGGCTCACCTCGCTTCTGTGTTGACTACCGGTCCACGGTGAATAAGAACTTAATTCGAATATCGTGGCCGATGCCTGAGATGGCAAGTCATATCGACACCGTAGCTGGTGCAAAATACATCACTGTTTGTGACGTACAAAATGCATACCACCAAATTCCAATCGCTGAAGCAGAACAAGATAAGACTGCATTTGTAACGAGGAATGGGAAATGGGTTTTAAAACGACTTCCTTTTGGAATCGCCAACGCCCCTTTTCTGTTCCAACGCACAACGGCATTGGCATTCGCTCACTTTGGCCCGAAATCTGGTCTTCTCATATACATGGAAGACATTATATGCTGTTCATCTACATGGGAGGGACTATCGACCTGCAAGAGAAAACTTTTGAAGCTCTCAAAGCAGCTGGACTCACCTTGAAACCTTCGAAGGTGCAGTTCGGGCCGAAGGAAGTAAAGTATTTGGGACATGTACAATCGTCGGATGGCATTCGTTTAGGTGATGATCGAATCAAAGCAATCTTGGATTTACCGACGCCCAAAACTATCAAAGAGATACGGTCGGTGCTCGGAACGGTAAATTATGTCAAGCGATTTATTCCTGATTTAGCTACCATTACCGCACCTCTGGTGAATTTAACCAAGAAAGACGCAGCGAAACATGTGGCAAAACGTTGGGGTCCAGAACACGACAAGGCATTTGCTGAAGTGAAGCAACTACTCACTAAAGCACCTGTTTTGCATTTTCCGGATTTCACTAAAGAGTTTGTAGTCCATGTCGACGCATCTGAAGCAGGAGCGGGAGCTTTTCTTGCGCAACAGAATGGCGACGATTTGAACATCATTGCATACTTTAGCCAGCGTTTTAACAAGAGTCAGCAACACTACTCAGCCACCATGAAAGAATGTTACGCAGTTGTACTAGCAATACAACACTGGCGGCCCTACTTGTGGGGAAAACATTTCACGTGCGTCACCGATCATGCCGCGTTGCGATATCTCTACACAATGTAAGACACGTCAAATATGCTCACCCGTTGGAGTATTGGGCTACAGTCCTTTGACTTCACGGTAAAGCATAAGCCGGGCAAATTGCATGTAGTACCAGACACGTTATCACGTCTGTTTGTTTTGAGAAGGAACAAGACCGATTAACGCATAGTCTGGCGCCGATATGCCGCAACGTACCAGACGATCCAACGCTACCCACAAGCGTTCCAAACAGAACTTTCCAAGTGTCACCAAACAAATTAGACTCAGTTCAACCTGTTCTTAGCGACAGAGAGTTGTTCGCAGTCGATCCAAACTTTGTGAGTGCCACCGAAATTTTCGAGTCTGTAAGTTAAAGTCTGGAAATTTTTCGTCTATGTCAAAAAGCCTTCAAGAAAAAAAAGGAGTTAATATTAAAAGAGGCAATGTTTATATAAAAAGTACAAATAGAAATATCTTTTGTATCTTATTAGATCACGACCAGTTGTGCAAGCAACAAGCCAAAGAATACGGGGAATATATCCAGTACATTTTGGACGACGATGCACCGCTACCGAATAACGAAACGGCAACCACAATGTCGTACTATTCAATCCAGAACGGGTCGCTATTCAAGTCGTACCTGCCAGGCCACCTCCGGAACGTAGCACGTTCCGTGACCAACTTGTGTTGCCTCAAGACCTCACCGGTTTGGTAATGCATGCTTATCACGATCACGCACTTTCTGGAGGTCACTTAGCAGATCGACCTACATATGCAAAGATCCGGGAAAAATACTGGTGGCCGACAATGGCACGGGACATTCGCAACTGGTGTCGCGATTGCCAAGCATGCCAACGACGGAAAACTCCACACCGACGACCTAAACTACCAACTGGCCACGTACCTGTCCAGAGACCGTTTGAAAGGATATCGGTTGACTTAGTAGAGTACAAAACAATCTCTACGTCAGCCGTCGGGGCGCCGTGCAAGTATGTTCTATCCATGATGGACCACTTGACGCGGTATGCTATTCTGACACCAATCCCAAACAAATCGGCAGAGACAGTAGCCAAAGTGATCATTGATCGGATAATAAGCACATTCGGGCCACCGGAAATGTTGCATTCGGATCAAGGCACTGAATTTGAGAACAAGGTCATTCACCAGCTGCAAACGATTCTGGGGTACAAGAAAACCGGTACGACGCCATACCGCCCACAAGGGAATTCTGTATCTGAGCGGGTGCATTCGACGATGCATGCAATGCTCGCGATGCACAGCTCAATGGGTCGAGACAACTGGGCGGAGCTATTACCAATGGTGCAACTAGCGTACAACACCTCGTTTAGCGTTACAATGCATGAAACTCCGTACTTCTTGATGTTTGGACGCCAAGCACGACTACCCGTCGATGTAATTCTCGGAATTCCACACGTGGAACCAACCACGGACACATAGAAATTGGCTCAGAACACAAGAGACAACCAACAACTTGCTTTTGAACTAGCACGAAGGAACCTCACCGAACGTGCGGAAAAGCAAGCTGCGAAAAACGCAAAGTTACCGCAGTATCCTGTCGTTAAACCAGGTCAACAAGTGTTAGTATACAGACCATACCAAGACTCGGACGGAACCGACCCAAAACTGCTGTTGCCCTGGAGAGGACCATACATAATCTGCTCCCAAATATCACCCGTGGTGTACAGAGTAAAGCGGAAGTATGAAGCACGCGAAGTTTCCGTGCACCTCGCACATTTAAAGCAGTATCACCACAGGCAGACGCCGCCAGAACCACAGTTTGAGAAACTGGCTGAGTACTTCTTGGGGAAATCCATCCCCTTACCTGCCCTGGATAAAAATAGTGCAGATCAACCAACGATCGAACGCTATACCGTACAGAATGTGGTGGGACACAAACCAGGCCGAGGCCGGAAATGTCCGCACAACTACGTATATCGTCTGCGCCTGAAGGGGTATGGCCCTGAGTCAGATTTGATGTACCGAGCTCAGGAGGTACCTCAATGTCATGAGATGATTTCTGCATACAGATCACAACATGGTATGGAACATACACCTCGGACACCACAACCGTCAACTCCGTCGTCAAAGCGGAAAAGACAGGAGGATCACCGGAACACGAAACGTAAGAACAAACGCGCTAAACGCCAGATGGACCAAGAGTCTGCCGAGGGTCAAGTTCAAAGTGCGGAGGACATGCGTGTGCACCGGAAGAGTAAACGAAGACGAAAGGCGAACAGGAAATACGTGTCACACGTATCTGGTCGACGGAAGGAAAAGCATCCATAAAAGGAGCTATCCAGCATTTGTTTGGGTCAAATGCCGGCGAGGAAGTCAAGTTGTAAAACAGCACGTTAAGCTGTTATATGTTGACGTCGCCGCCTTATAATCGTCAACCCAAGCAGTCGGTTACTCGTTAAACAAACCGATACTGCCACCGAATACTCGTGGTTATCAACACGAGATTTCGAAAAATAGTCAATGTGTTTTGGTGTAGGTATGAGTCTTTTCCACGTGTATCCTCGTACTGACATTGACCACGTGTTTTCTCAACACGCAGTGCAAAGAGGTGGGGATACACTACGGGAGAGCTGACGTCGTACGTCAGGTTAGATCAAATCTATGTGAACCATTTCTTATTTAAAATGAGCGCCTGAAGAGGACTTTCGGCGAAAAAAGAGGGGGGCTGTGTGGATACCTAGATATGGATCTTCCCTGACAAAGTACGTACGCACATACAGACCTAAAGAGCCTCGGATTTGTGTGTGTCCACGATGGCGCACCCCAAGGGGCTTACTCTCGAACCAGCTTAAAGCCGAGCCAACTTGGTTGAGCTTGGCTATCCTCGCCACATATCAAAGAAGAAAATAGAAGCCACGGCCAGTGGTGTGGTATTCCCACTACACTTGAGGCCCCCTGACTCGCTTGAGAAGGGGCGTCTAACTGTCTGTTGTATTTACTCAATGACCGCTTACGCGCAGCAGGTTGTACGGTACTCTAAAGGGTAGACTAGTACACTTCTTTCCGCGTTTTTTTTCGGTATCAAGAGTCGACACCTGTCTACGTCAATCTATGGAAAATATACACATCAACAACACAAACCAGCACCACACACAAACACCGTCTCGGAGGACCCCAGATATGCCGCGCGACGAAGTAGATTGCTGCTGCCGTCAATGAGTTGCTGATGATTCAGAGAGCTGTGCTCAAGGATGTCGTATAAGTAGTAGTATAGTTACCATGGATATCTGGTTGTGAGCGCCATCATTGCATCCATATACCCAGTATCACCACAGCCCCTGCCGATAAAAAGCGCTCGCGCTGAGATGCTAGAACGTATCGGGCGACATGATCATCAGGGTGACCTGTGACACGTCATCATACCAAAGGTAGCACCCAAGGTTTGTCACATTACGGAATCTACGTACGAAATGAAGCATGTTGTTCCTGCCGGGCTTGCCTAATGAAACTCGAGGAGCTGCTTCCGGCGCGAAAGGCCTGGACACGCCGGTGATTGCGCGAAAGAAGGAGAAGCCCTATCAGCTGCAATGACGGGAGGGTGGCGTGCAAAAACAGCGTCATGTGTGCCGTGAGAGACCTCCTCTGGGCGACCAAGTGTCCGCTGCATCTCCCCTGCCCCTGGAATAGAATCTCTCGGATCACTGCATTTGCGTGCCCCCCCGGAAGGAGGTAGGGCAGGGGCTCCGTAGTTCAACGACGAGATAGAACACAAAACACGAACCAAACCAAAAACCTATTCTGTATGCATATGACTGCTGCAACAATCAAGCCAAAAACAAACATCTTTACGTTCGTTGTAGAGAGGGCCAGACACACCGCGTTATTGGCAACATAGTGCCCAACCCACGGGGCCATCACCACCCGTGCACAAGGCTACAAGCGCCCCCACCCTGCCGACGGCAACAGCAGCCTCGTTTTTTTCGATCGCGATCAAGGCTCGTTTTTGTGTTCCCCAGCAACACCGACACCCCAAAAGCAGCAGAGAGCAAGATGCCCAAGGACGCGGAAGCCGAGCGTCTCAAGAAGATGAAGAAAATGTCTCGTGTTCTTGGGATCAACATCCATCAGGTATGCACGAGAGAGACACACACAGCGTGCGGCTCGTGGCTTTCCTGCGACCGCGGTCTACCGTCGATCCGAGGTAGATCGAACGAATCGGTGGTTGCCAACCAATGACGCGGTGATTTTTTTTCTTCTGCTCTTCTTGACCCCCACCACCCGCCGCCGCTACTGCCGCTGCTGTGCTTCGTATTTTTCAGTTCGGGGTGTCCTAACGGCGGTACCGCAGTCCGTTCAATCAGAGGCGTGACTTCGCAACGTGTAACCGTTCCCTACCTCTGTGTATCATGTACTCCTGCATCGCCAAGCAGGCATCTCATTTGTACTCTCGCGGTGGTTGGCATAGCCTCGCCCGCTGACTGACCAACGACAGCAGAGTGTTCGGGTAGTCACCACTGCTGTAGGTTTTTGAATCTGCTTCTGTACAACAGCAGCAGAGGATTTTCTTGAAATTGCGCCGAAGGGCCTGTCATGCCTGAAAGGAAAAGACAGGATAGATCGTGGTGTGTTGATCTCTGCGCCCTCTCACCGAGCCGTGTTTGAAGGATCCCGCTTGTATGCATAGCACAAGCAGGAGCGGGGTAGGGTCAGAGGGTTCATCGAACTTCTCCGGGGTATTGGCCACGATTGCCGCCTTTTTTGCTCTCCAACGTAGTTACTAACCTCGATGACGGTTTGTATGTGTCGAGCCGTGTGCATACATTTATAAAAAAAATATATACCATATACTGGATAGACCGCAAAGTTTAAAAAAGGTTCCGCATTTGTCGTAACTTTCTCTGTATTTTATTTCGTCGCCGAAACCACTCGCCGAGAGACTCATACAATACAGGGAGTTATTTTTTGAAGCCTCTTGTCCGGCCCTTCGTCAGCAACTCGGACTAATCTTGTACTATGTCGCCTCAGGTATCGAGACTGCCCCACGTACTTGCAACAGCAGTAGATATTATGCTGACCAACCCGGGTGACGACTCGTGCAATTACATTCAACATCGCACCTGTGCTACGCCGTTTTACAATTCGAGGGGTTTTCCAAAGCAGCAACCTACAATATGGCGTTTTTGCCAACCCGGTACACGTGTGTACGTAGGTCGCAATGGCTGCATGCGGAGGGATCGCATCACTCTCCCCCATCACTCTCCCCAACCACGTTCCCCACGCAGTAAGAGACGGTGCTTGCGTGCGCATGAACGAACAGACACATCACCAAAAACAAATGCGTTCGGTTACTGTGTGTCGGGCGGCCCCCGAGGCAGGTGGCTGCGATGCTCGAGAAGCAAGAGAGGGCCGCCAACGGCGAAATAGACGAGGAGGAGGAGACCCCGCCGGCCGCCGCCGCCGCCGCCACCCCCGCCGCTGCCGCTGCTGCAAGTCCCGAGGTAGGTCGGTTTGTGCTACTGCTGTCACCAAAAAAAAGGGAGCCAATGTGTTTGACGCCCCGATGCGGCAAGTCTCCCTCCCTTCTTGGTGTGGAGTTGTTTTCTGGTCTCGACGTCGCGAAGGGTGCGTGATGTTCCGTTTCACGTACTTTCGTAGGTGTACATACGAAGTGCGGACTATGGGGCAGTACTCTGTATGCAAGCTCGCCGCAATCACCAATTTACCCTAGTCTAAAGACAGGTACACCCAGCATAGGATGCCCTGCGCATGTGTGGATATTGTGTTTGTTTCGCTTCCTCGAAAGAACGAGGGTAGGAGAATGTAGCCGTACACACCAAAAGCAGCCGGCGAAGTTAGCCCGACGTTGCGGGGCAACAGCAGCAGCTACTCGTTCAAGTTACACTTTTTACCCTTCAAGTATCCCCGGCCATGCATGCATACACATCATTCCTCTTCTCTGGTTTCTGGTTCATTTCACGCGGTTCGTGAGAAAGTCTAACTGATCGATCACACGCTTTGGGGTATCCCCGATCCCCTCTCCGCCACGACGGCAAAAAAACGCGGCGCAACTTCAGAACGATGACCCTTTCTCGAAGTTCATGCGCGAGCAGAACGGCGGCGCGCAAGGCGAAGGGGCGGGGGCGGGGGCGGCGGGATCCGATGCCGCTTCGTCGGCGGTTACAACTAAACCTTCGGCGAAAAAGAAGGACGAGGAGATGGTGAGATGGAGATTAGAGAAATGTTTTTTAACTCGCCGTTGTTGCTATTTATGCCCTAGTTGGGCGCATCATGTACTTGTGAGGATTGCAGCGTGCCTGTTTGTTTTCTTGTAGTCGGAAGGAATTCAGCAACGTGTTTGCTGGTTTGGAACTGTTGGTGCTTTGTCATTCTCCTGTGCGTTGTTCCCCTTGGTGAGTGTTTTTGATCGGCATGTTGCTTCGGTGGCGACAGGGCGCAGTCGGTGTGACTGGCGCACGTTGGGCAGCTCATCTGGTGAGGGATTGTCGTGTATCCTTGCCGTGATCGTTTGAGCGGGCAGCATCTCTGGGCCTCTTAGAATTCCGCTCGGCCACAGGTCAATAGTTTTCCCGTTATTGATTTTGTTGTTGCTTAGACATCCTTCTCCTGTTCTTGTGCTGCCTCCGTCTCTCTCTTTCTCTCTCCTTCTCCTTCTCCCGCTTCCCCCCCCCCCCCC